GGCATCGAAGGAGGAGCTGAACAAGATCACAAAAAATAATTTTTTGAAGTGCTTCGAGGATTGGAAAAAACGTTGGCACAAGTGTATAATATCTGATGGGGATTACTTTGAAGGGGACAAAATAGATATTCATGAATAAATAAATAATTTTTGAAAAAACACAAAATTCGCGATACTTTTTGAACAGACCTCATATAGAGGATATAGAGGATGACAACGCGGGACACTTCGCGCTGATCAAGAATCTATCTCGATTAGTCAGCTCACAACCAAAAAAGAACATAAGAAATATTTCTGCGATAGGTACGTAATAATAATAATAATAATAATAAATTCGCGGTTTTTTCAGATGTCTCCACTATTTCAGCTCGAGCGCTAATTGGAGATCCAAAACGAGGATTGTGGAAAACTGAATGACTGCGCGATCAGTCGAGGCTACCAAGCGAGGATGATAAATGGCTGAGTTTCGATAATCACTGCAGGAAGGAATGCGTCCTGTTCGTTGTTTACGCGGACTTGGAGAGTGCTTTAAAGAAAACTGATGAGAATTCTGAATTGGCTATGTACACGTATTGTTATCGTAACGTGTTTAGCATCGAATACTATGTGCATTGCTGGTACGACAGCTCACTTGGGTTACCGCGATAAAGACTGTATAGCGTAGTTCACAGAAGAATTCAGAAATTTAGTGCACAGTGTACAGTCTATAATTTTGGCTAATGTACCCATAGTGGATTTCATGTGAGACGATTGGCAAAAATTTAACAGCGCCATGTATTGTTACATGTGCGAGAAATCGTTTGCACCAGATGATTGCGGATACGCGATCACAGCAACTGGGTGATACAGAGGTTCCGAGCGCTCAAATTGCAATCTAAATTATAGGGATTCGCACTGCATACCCGTAGTTTTCCATAACTTATCGGGCTACGATACGCGCATTTCGTCATCAAGGAAATTGCCACCGTGTACAAAAGATGCGTTCATCTTTTACTAATAACTAAAGAAAAATACATCTCGTTTATTAAACATGTCGATAGTACCAAAATTGATAAAAAAATTGTGTAAAATTATGGTTTATAGATTCATACAGATTTCTCGCTTCTAATTTAGACAAATTGGCATTTTTTTTTAGTAAAGATAAGCTATGGATACTGCAACACAAATTTTCCAATTTATCAGAAGAAAATTTTAATTTTTTGACACGAAAGGATGTCTTTCCGTATGAGTATATTTTGATTGTGTTGAAAAGTTGGAAGAGCTGTGTTTACCGCCTCGCAAATCATTTTACAATTCATTGATAGACGACACGGTATCTGAGAACGCTTACGCACATGCTGTCAACGGGTGGCAGCGGTTCTCCATCTGGACACTCGATGAATATGGCGATTTATATCTGAAAACGGACGTATTGTTGTTGACCGACGTCTTTGAAAATTTCCGCGACAGTTGCGTCGCGAGTTATAAGCTCGATCCCGCGAATTATTACACCTTAACGGGCTTCATGTGAAACGCCATGTTAAAGCACACGGGTGTAAGATTTGAACTGCTCACAGACATTGACATGGTCATGTTTATCGAGCGCGGAATACACGGTGGTCTGAGCCAGTGTTCAAATAGATACACACGAGCCAAAAACAAATACATGTCGTCGTACGATTCATCAAAACCGTATTTGATGTACTGTGACGTCAACAATCTGTATGGCTGAGCAATGTGTCAACCATTGCCTTACGCCGATTTTTGATGGGTCAACGACGTACAAAATTTTGACTTTACGATCATCGCATTAGATTCGGCAACTACATTCTCGAGGTGGACGCGGAGTACCCGTAACATCTTCATAACGCGCACACTAACCTATTATTCTGTCCGACGAGCGAGAAACCACCGGGCAAGCGTGATGACAAGCTCTTCGCAACATTATGCGACAAACAGCGTTACGTCATATATTATTGTAACCTGTAGCACGTACTCGTCGCGGTCTCCGTATAGATATTACAAAGGTTCACCGTATATACTGCAATTCGCGCACTGTATACTGCAATCTCCATGGCTCTATTATATAGAACTAAACATAAAATTTAGAACTTGACCAAAAATAATTAAAAAAAAAATTTATACAAACTTATGAATAACGCGGTATTTGGCAAAACCATGGAGAACGTATGCAATCGCATCGACGTGTTAAAGTTATTAACACAATGGGAAGGCAGATACGGTGCTGAGGCAATGATCGCGAAATCAAATTTCCACACCCGTAGTGTCTTTTCGGAGAATCTGGTCGCGATAGAACTGCGTAAGCTCGAGGTGAAGTTTGACAAATCGATATACGTGGATATGTGCATTCTCGACATATTCAAGACGTGTACGATTTGTACGAATTTCATCATAAGTACATGGCACCGCTATTTCGCGAAAAATGCTAAATTATAATATGTATACTGATAGCCTCATATATTTACTATATATAATAGAATGTGACGATGTCTACGATATAAGTAGATTTGACAAGAGCGATTACTCAAGCGACAACGCGTACGGCATTCCGCTCGCAATTAAAAAAGTTCCTGGCTTTATAAAAGATGACAACAATGGTGTCATCATGATCGAATTCGTTGGGCTTAGAGTGAAAATGTATGCCTTGCCTGTAGAAGGAAAGAAGGATACAAAGAAGGCAAAGGGCATCAAGAGCAACGTTGTAGTGAGGTCTACAACATTCGAATATTACACGTGGGACTTGAATGATGCAATCGAATTGACGCACAGGCAGTCGTGCATAAGATCCAAATTGTACGAGGTGTACACGATATCAGAAACAAAAATTGCTCTAAGTCCGCACACGATAAGCAGTATATTGTTCCAGGTTCCATCGACACGCTGTCATGGGGGCATTATGTAAATAAAACACATTTGTATTGTATAGTATGTTTAATACGTATATAATATGTATAATATGTATAATATGTATGCTATGCATAACATGTATAATATATATAATATAGTATGTGTAATATGTAAATACAATATGTATTTGATATTTACGAGTATAATATGTATAATACGTATTTATATATTTTTATAATAAACATAAGTTTTACAATACATTGTCTTTATGTATCCACATATTGTGTGAATTGTCAAATTCCAATTATTTCACGTAAATCTCGTTCTCCCTTTTGCGCAGCACCTATTCAACGAGATGCACGTCGGGGTTAGCGACGCTGTGCAATTCGTATTCGTAGAATCCTCCAACAATAGGCTCTCCGTGAGAATCTTTCAGAAGATACGTCGCTGGATTAGTTTGTTGCATTTTGATAATTTTAAATTGATTAAGAAGGTCATTTGATGTATTTTGCATTCCAATTTCAATGTATTTTGTATTTGAAATGTCGACAAAAATCCTTGATAATAATTCTTGATAATTCAGAAACGATAGAGTTGTGGCAGAGAACAAAACATAACAAGATATAATTGTCGACGTAGGATAAGACAGAGAAGAACGTTGATGTTGTAGTTGTGACTAGTCGGGAAAGTGCCGGGTGCGCAACAAAAATTTGAA